TGCCCGTTTGAGCTGAGGGGTGGGGGGAGGGAGCAGGAGGGGCCGTGCTTGGGGTGTTATCAGTGCTTCGAGTGTGCAGGGACAGGCAAATCCGTGTGATCAGTGGATGTTAGCGTGGGGTCATGGCATGGGTTGGGTTGGAGGGACCGTAGAGGTCACCTAATCCACTCCCTGCCCCGGGCAGAGACACCTTCCACTAGCCCAGGTTGCTCCAAACCCCATCCAACCTGGCCTGAAACACTTGCAGGGATGGGGCAGCCACAGCTTCTCTGGGCAGTGCCAGTGCCTCTCAGGGAAGAATTCCTTCCCAATATCCTGTCTGTCCCTGCCTTCTGGCAGTGGGAAGCCATTCCCCTTCATACAGTTCTTCCAAGGCTCATCCCACCAGAAGAACAGTATCTCTCACATTAAGGGTTTTTTTTCTTCTTTTTCCCCATCCTCTTGTTTTTGGGATTCTCTCAGTACTGGATGGAAGCTGCAGTGAGGTTTGAGCTGCTGATTGCACTGCGGATCAAGCCTGATGTCACTCATTCAACATAGATGAAGAATTTGGGTCTTGGATGAGGCTTTTTCTTCTCTTCTTGAGGAAAGGACCTTAAAAGTGTGAAGTGTGTTTGTGTCCCATTTGCTGTCAAGAAGTTCCTGTCCTTTGGAGTCCAGTAGCCATGAGACCAGCAAAAACAGAGGGAGAACAGAGCATCATCCTGATCAGTGATGATGAAGCTGAGAGCACCCTTGGGGATTCAGTCCTCTTAGTAGAGCGACAGGGTAAGAGCTGTTCCCATGCTGCTGCTGAGCTTCTGTGAAAGATTTTTGGCATGAACTGGATTAAATGATGATGGGATGTGCTTGAAATATGTCTTTGTGCTGCTAGGAAAGCAAAGTACTTCAAAAGTGAATCAAACCCGGAGGAATTGCTATGATTTCATAACCTTTAGGGTTTGTTTCTTTGACACCACTACTTACCCTAAAGGATGTTGCTGTGTGGTTTGAGACTATTCCCAAACCGAGCTGAGACTGGGCTTTTCCACTATCAGTTGAATTCTTTTGTTTGGATTGTGTGTAGAAGTTTTTTGCTCCATTTTTCTCAGCACTACATGAAATCTTAAGAAAATTTGTGCCTTAAAATATGTCAGAAGTAAATGTCAATAATATATAACAAAGTTGTTGTTACTCTTATCCTGATTTACACTTCCTGTTCTCTTTCCTACAGAGAAATCTGCCCTGGAAGAGATGAAATCTGTAGAAGTTGTGGATGAGGAATGTGAATTGTTGGTTACTTTCTGTAAACAAGCAAATGTGATGCCTCATGCAAGATATGACTGTACCACACACCCCTTTGAGTAGGTTCAGGGGTGGGAGGTTAATTTGGGGGTTTGTTTTTCACCTCTAGTCCACTTTTGGCATTAGATATGTACCAGCTGAAAGCAGGAGTAGAGCTGGATGAGGATGTAACTTGTTTCCTTAATAACCTTCTGGTTTTCAACCTTGTAGGAGAACAGAATGTGATACTGGCTCACCCCTTGGCAAAAATGCTGACATTTGTGACCAGTGCTACTGCTACATCTGTGACAAATTGGCTTCAGAGGTGAGAGGAAAGGGACAACTGGGAGTCAGTCCCTCAGCAGTCTTTAAAAGAGAGCCAGGGAATGGTTTGGGTTGGAAGAACCTTAAAGGTCAGCTAATCCACCCCCTACCATGGGCAGGGACACCTTCCACTAGACCATGTTGCTCCAGGTCCCATCCAACCTGGCCTTTAACACTTCCAGGGATGGGGCAGGCACAGCTTCTCTGGGCAACCTGTGCCAGTGCCTCAGCACCCTCACAGGGATGCATTGAAGGACACTAAGAGAATAAGTGATACATGAAATTTGATTGTTTTAATGGTTTCTCAGTGTTGATACCTTTTTGCTCATAAGGCTCCTAACTGTGGTTCTATCTGGGTTTATCCGTGACACTGCAGCCAGTTGTTGGAGCATATATTCAGTTGGTATAAGCAAAATCACCTGCTGTTTGCTTCAGGCACTCAGTGTATTTGAAGGACACTAAGAGAATAAGTGATACATGAAATTTGATTGTTTTAATGGTTTCTCAGTGTTGATACCTTTTTGCTCATAAGGCTCCTAACTGTGGTTCTATCTGGGTTTATCCGTGACACTGCAGCCAGTTGTTGGAGCATATATTCAGTTGGTATAAGCAAAATCACCTGCTGTTTGCTTCAGGCACTCAGTGTATTTCATGGAACTCAGTTACTAAGTCTGACTTCTTACTTCTCTAAATGACAAACCTTTAGAGTGTCTGACCTAGAGTGAGGGTGGAGAGCAGTGGGGGGAATTGACTGTGTGAGGTTTGTCTGAAATTCAGCAGACTTTGTGCTGGGAGCAAATTTGGGGTGAAAATGCCAAGAAAAGGTTCTGTTACCAGTTTCCAGTGGGGACAGTGCCAGTCCTGAGGGTCCCTGCAAGGTGTTCAGGAGTGACAGGAAGCTGATAGGGATGTTTTTTGTTATTGATAGTCATGATATCAAGTTGTTGGTGTGTTGGCATCTGGCCCTGACTGTCCAACTCCTTCCCTGTGGTCTTGCCCGGGTGTGTAAAGTATGAAAGGATCTCTAGCTCTTCACTCAGAGGAACTCACGTTTGGGTTGTTCAGCTGGAGAAAGCAACCCCACAAAACCCAAACCTTTCCCTGTTTTTTATGAAACAGTGCCAGAACTGGACAGTCCCTGCCCTGTGTCACTGCAATGCACACAACAAAAGCAAGTTCTGGAAGGACCAGAGGGACTTTGCCCTTGCAGGAGTCCTTGTCATGTTCAACCTGGAGCTGAAGGACATTGACGCAGAACTGCGGCATGGGGGTAGGTATTCTGTTCCCAAATTATCCTGGAAAACCTTAGCTGCTCAGTCTGTGGCTTCATGGACAGCTTGTCTGGACCAAAGCTCTCCTTGTGAGGCCTTGGTGAAGTGTTAAAGTAGCAGTTTACTGGTGCTGATGTCTTTCTGGATCATACTTGGAGCAGACATGGATCTGCAGGTCCAACTTCCTACTTTGCTCCCTCTGGAAGAATCCCAGAATGGTTTGGGTTGGAAGGACCTTAAAGCTCATCTAATTACAGCCCCTGCCATGTGCAGGGACACCTTCCACTAGCCCAGGTTGCTCCAAGCCCCATCCAAACTGGCCTTGGACACTTCCAGGGGGGGAGCAGCCACCACAGCTTCTATGGGCAACCTGTGCCAGTGCCTCAGCACCCTGACAGGGGAGGATTTCTTCCCAGTATCTAACCTAAATTTCCCCTCTGTCAGTTGGAAGAAGTAACAAAGCTTTCCTGGCCAATAAGATTGGGTCAAAGTGACTTGCTAAATATTTTACCTGGGGAATTTAAGAGTTTTCTATCTTTTCGTTTGAAAAAATAGATGCAAAGCTGTTAGTGCAATCTTTGTTTTTGTCTTATCTCTTAGGAAGTCTTCTAATAGAATTTATCCAGCAACTTTCTGTGGAATATAATAAGTATCTGACTGGAGAAAAACTGCCTCCCAGAAAACAGGAATGCTCTTGTGTCCCCAAATTGCCTCCTGGGCAGTGCAATTCCTGCAGTTCACACAACAGTGACATTGTATACAAGTAAGTGACAACAGAACTTTGCTACTGAGGGCAGGTTTGATTTCCTTGAGCCAGATGACAGTCAGAATGGTGACACCTGATAGAGCAGAAATTGAGATTAGAGAATTTAGCCAGTGAGGTGTTAAATTGCACTTGGGTGTAGTTTAAACACCCCCAAAATACATCTTTAAATGCAACTTTAAATACATTTTCTGTGCTAAATGTGATAATTAATGTCTCATTAGTATGACCTGGGAAAGCACAGAAAGAAATCCTGTGTTTTAGGGTATGTTTAGATGGGATATTGGGAAGGAATTCTTCACTGTGAGGGTGCTGAGGCACTGGCACAGGTTGCCCAGAGAAGCTGTGGCTGCTCCACCCCTGGAAGTGTTCCAGGCCAGGTTGGATGGGGCTTGGAGCAACCTTGTCTAGTGGAAGATGTCCTTTGGCAGGGGCTGGAACTAGCTGACCTTTAAGGTCCCTCCCAACCCAAATAACTCTGATTCCATGATTTTGACTAACTTGGTTTTTAGGATGAGGTTCTGCTTTTCCTTGCTTTAATGTGCCTTTAAATGCTTCAGGTAATGACTGTGCAACCCCTTTTTCCCTGTGTTGTAGATCCTTTAGAGAAAGATAAAGCAGCTTGTTCTCAAACTGTAAAATGATCACAAATGCCATTTATTGCTGAAGTTCATCTTTGCAGACAGTTTCTCTTATAAAGTACTTAACTTTCTTAGGTATTCTGAAGTTTTTGCCCTGGTAACAAGATTTTTAAATCAGGCAGAGCAGGAGAGTCCTAAAGCTGCTGCTGTTATGCTGCTGGGAGCAGCTAGAGAGATTTCATTTCACAAAGACCCTTCTGTGTAAGTACCAGTGCACATCCGGTGTGGGACCTTCCTGTGCTCCTCAAAGGAAGGAGAATCAGTGGGAGAGTTCTGGGTTTTCAGTTATTCAGGGGAAGGAAGGTGTCAAAGTTCCAACCTGGGCTGCAGCATAGCAAGAGGAGAATGAGTACACCTGAGTTTTGGATTAGTTACAGAAGGGATCTGGGAGAAAAGAGATTAAAGGTTGGATGTGAGAGGAAGAAATGTAGTGGGATTGAGTCAGGAGGAAAGAAGATGATCAATAAGGGGGAAGGAATTTGAGATGGGAACTGGGAGGAGGGAGGATGACACATGAGGGCAGGTAGAGTTAATTCTCTAGGAAAAGGTACAAGGACATGGAATCTTTCCTGAGTGGGGAGTGCACGAGCTGCATTGAGTGAGCAGTCTGCTGCTGCCCTGGAAGGAATGGAGAAGGTGTTCCTTGGGGAGTGAGTTCTAGGTGCCTCCCAGAGGTCTGGAGCTGATCTGTCAGCTGGGGCTGGACATAAATACATAAAACCAGAGTTTAAACACTTCAGTCTTTGCTACTTGTGCTGTTTCTTGGCTGTTGCTGGCTGTTCCATGCTTGCCTACTGTCTAGCCTGAGTGTTGCAGATCTTTGCTGTGCAAAGCCTAAATACTTTGAGGCTTAAATTCAAGGCATTCTCTGAAGAAGAAGTAAACAAGGTCTAGACTGGTTTGACAGACAGAAACAGCAGCACCACTGCAATTCCTTCTGAGGAACTCTGCAGGTTTGCAAGGGGCAGGCTGGAAGCATTATTTGGGTGGTAGGAAACACTGGCAATTCTACTGTGTTTTGCACTTTGAGCACTTCTTTTACTTGTTTGCAATTTTTGTTAGCATGGCAGTTCCAAAAGCTTTTTAAGGAGAGTATAGAGAAGGGGAAAAGGCAGGAAAACAAGGCAAATGTTAATTAGTGCTTTTTCCCCTGCCCTCTTAGAAGGTGGCAGAACCTTGACCACACTGCTTCACTAAAGGTTGCTGTGCCCTGCCTGTTGCAAAGGTAAGATTTGTTTCTTGTTGGCTGCAAACTTTGTTTGCCTTTCAAATGACAATTCTACTCTTCAGAGGTACATGGAGAGCTCTGTAAGGCCAGTGGCAGGAGGTGTCAGGCTGTGCTCTTTCAACCAAACAGTAAATAGTGTCTGTTAGAGACCAAAAGTGCAGCCAGCCTTGCAGTATTCCACTGGGATGGAGCAGTCAGGGATGTAACAGAGAGGCTGGTGAATGAGGACATGAGCTCACTTGGCTTAATTCTGTTCTCATTGTAGCTTTATCTTTCACCCCAAATTCACTTGCCACAGAAGGTTAATGAGTTAATTCTTAACTTCTTCCAGAAGCACCTAAAACCAATTCTATATTCATACCTTACCTGAAAGGAATGTCAGATATAACCTAAATCCCTTAGGAATTTGAATTTTAAATTATTATTCTTGGGGGTTTCCTAATTTCTTCCTTTTAAAGAACAGGAAAAAGAGTTGGGTTTTTTTACCTCCAAAAATTATAATAGAGTAAAATTTCTGTTAGATCCAGTTTCCAGTTAATTCAAAACTGGTTCCAGTAGCAGGGAAGGTGCAGGAACTCGGGTTAATTATCAGCTCCATAGTTTGCTGCAATGTTTCTTGCACATATTCCCTGAGGATCTTTGTTTTAAAGCTTCAGACTTTGGTTTCACTTGTTCTAAAAACAACAAAAACAATATCATTGTTCACTCTAAATCTCAAAGCAGAAATCTAAATATAGACCCCGAACTACCATTTAAAAAACCAACCCCAAACTTCTGTGCAGCAGTTTCCCATAGGATTAAAAAAAGCCACAACAACTTATTAGTAATCTGTGTGATTTTTTTCAAATCTTCTTTTCCTTTCCCAATCCTAGGATCACAACCCAACTCCAGAGGATGCTGGTTCTCTGTGACTTCCCCAAAACTCTGTATGAGAAGTTTGTGAATTTTTTTCAGTCCATCTCACTTCCCTGTCACTGTTTTGTCTTCTCCAATAGGTAAATCCTTTGGCTTTTTTGACTGTTACTTGCAAGCAGCTGATTTGCAAACAGCTGCATGGAATGGCTCTTTCCTTGATAGTCCAAGTGGGAGCATTTTATAGGAATCTTTTGCTATTAACTCCTTTATATCTGTCCTGTTCTTACAGGAAATATTGTTTGATGCTGTGGCAAAGTTGTTTTCCATAGAGCTTTTTTCTTCTAGCTTTTCCTTCTTTTTCCCTCAGAACTGAGCTATAAACTCCAAAATGGTTTATTAGTAAATCCTCATGCTACTTAAGGGAATTAAATTGTGATTTCATACCAAAGCACAGTTAAAAATGGCTTTATTTTTATACTTGCAGCTTGAATGTTGTGCCTTGGGACGACATGTTACTGACCACAGTTTTAAAAGGCCAAAACATCACTGGGCAGAGAACACAGAAAGGAAGGAAAATCTTTCTGTGGGAAGCACTTCCTGTCGTAGAGGCTCGAGTGGAGAAACTGTTGGAAAAGAACAAGTAAGATTGGGTTAGATTTTTCATTTCAGGGACTCAATTCTCACATTGTGACTGCAGTGAATGTTTTCCAAACCTCTGCAGGTTGTTAGAATGGGAAAACACGTGAAACAAAACCACATTTGAAGCTGGTGTTGGCCATTACTCCATACCCATAAGGCCAGGAGCTTTGGAAAGTTTGTCAAAGCCCTTTGAATACTTTAGGACCAGAAAAAGAACATTGAAGTGGATCATTTCTTTGTTTCCATAAACCCTGTGGATTGGAGATTTTGGTGTTGATATCAAATTCTGTTAATCAAAGGCTGACTCAGCCAAAAAGTGTGTTCTGAGGCTTCAGAGTTCTGTACTCAAATGAATACACCTAAAGAATTAAACTGAAAGAATTCAACTGTTTTCTTTTGCCAGAGGAAAGAGAATTTGTAAATAACTTCCTGGAACTTCCAGCTGTCTCCTTCTGCCAGTTGTATTTCTGTCCTCTTGTATGGGAGCATCTACTGGTTTGTTTCACTAATTGTAGGGGAAGTATTGGACTGACCTGTGTAGAACTTTGCACTTCTTTCCTCTTCCCACTCTCACGCTCTGGTTTTCTCCACAGCTATCGAGAAGTTGTTCGGTACCTGAGAGCTGTCAAATGCAATGACGGCAAAGGGTAAGTGGCTTCCCCCTCCTCCCTTCCCCATTTTCCCCCTCCCCTCGGTTGTGCCACAGCCTGTGTTTCCTGACTGTGTAACAAACTGACCAAATGCAGAGCAGTAGGAATTCCTTTTCTCCTTCCCAGGTTACGAGACCTTCGGGATAAGATCCCATTCTATCTGTGTAAAGCTGGGGAATTCCTGGAAGCTGCCAATTCCCTGCTGGTCCCTGTGAGCAGCTTGGCCTGCTGCACTGCCTGCCGGGTCACACCTTGCCAGTTTGAGGTCTACCTCAAGATGTTTAGGACAGGCAGTGTTCCTATTGGGAATGACATGCTGGAGCCTGGGCACTGGGTTACAGTAGGCAAGTAGTCATTTCTTGTTTCTGTGTGTTTAGAACTTCGATTACAGCTTTTAAGTTTTAATTAAAATTAGGAGCAGTGTGTGTCCCATGTTGTGTGTGTGATGGACACAGTGAACACTTCCCTTGGGATCACCTGCTGGGAGGGCTTAGTCTGAACTGAATTCAGTTCTTTGCAGCTTTCCAGAACTGGGGTTTAGAGTGGATGTTTTTCTCTTCTTCATACAAAATATTGTCAAATAGCTGTAAACACTTGTTTATCTCAGAGAAACCTAACAGCAAGGTTGTTATTATCCTCTTTGTGCTACTACTTTCTACTTTTTCAGGGAATGTAAGATATCTCTTGGATTTCTTGTTCTTACAGGCTCTCCCCTGAAAGATGGTATGCTGGTTAAACATGCACTCAAACTCCTCTACAGCAACATGTTACTATACAGGAATGTGAGTTATTAAACCTTTCTCTAAATTCCCTCTTTTGTCCTGTTACTTTCCCAATGCAAGGATTTGGATGGACTTGATCTCAGAGGTCTTTACCAACTTAAATGATTTACTGTCAAAACCATTTTCTTTCTGACTAATTTATTATTAGTAAATAATAAATTAATTACTGAACAGATTTCACTTTATAAATCCTGCTGTGTTTCAGCCCAAATGTTGGAGTTCCTTCATCATGGTTTTGGGTAGTAGCAATTTTACGGACAAAAGTGGGCACCTCCATCCCTTACCCTTGAAGGTACCATCACTTGAGTTCCAAAAGGTAACTGAAACAATGCTTGAGATGGGAGAATCTGTTTTCTTGGGTTTATCCAAAATTGATTTCCTGTGGGCATTGGCTCATTGTCCTAAATGCCAAAGTTAACTTTCCACTGCCTCATCCAACACTGTGTATATGCCAAGTGTAACACTCTGCAGAATGTCAGGATTCAGGAGTGTTAAAAAGGCAGCTACAAACAGGAATTCTGTTCTCAGCTTGATGTCTGATGTTGATTCTGTATCTTAAAATGTTGAGATGAATCAGATAATAAAGGCCCTGGAGGGACAGGCCAAGGAGGAATGGCTTCCCACTGCCAGAGGGCAGAGTTAGATGGATATTGGGAATAAATTCTTGGCTGTGAGGGTGACAAGACACTGGCACAGGTTGTCCAGAAGAACTGTGGCTACCCCAACAAGTGTTCAGGGTTAGGTTGAATGGGGCTCTGAGCAATCTGGTCTAGTGGAAGGTGTCCCTGCCCGTAGCAGGAGCTTTAAGGTCCCTCCAAGCCAAACCACTCTGATTCCACAAGAGCACATTAAAGAACCATCTTGGGCACTGATGTTTGTGGAGTGTTTGGACATCCTTCCTCTTTACCTGTGCCTCATTCCTTCCATTCCAGGGAGTGCTGGCAGCCAGCTATAGCCTTCTGGAAGACCTGAAAGCCAAACTCAATGTCTCTTTACCACATGCCATCTCTTCTCCTCAGGTGAGTGTGCACATGGCAATAAGGGAATTGATCCTTGGGGTTAGTGTACTTGAAGGTGTAGCAGTAGCTATGAAAAGCTTTTAAGGGGGAGATGAAAGAGTTTTTGGAGGTGGATCAGCTGTTCTTAGCACAGCCTAAAGGCTGGAGCAGATATGTGAAGGTAAGATAACTCTGAGGGTCTATTCTGGTCTGACACATCTTCAGTTTAGGACAAGTTTTACTTTCTCACTGTCCACATTTATATATTTATGAAGTGGCAGGGCTGGTTATAATTGATTCTGTCTCCTCACAGGATGGTCTTCTGTGGTTTGGTTCAAGCAGGAGTGTCCTTTGAGGCTTGACACTGCTTGTCCCAAAACTCAGAACCACCCAGAATTTCAACATTTTGTTTAAATTAGAGTTTCAGGTATAGTGGAACATGTTTGAAGATGGATGGAAAATACTCTCTATTTGATGCAGTCAAAACATCTTAGGAGCTGTCTTAGCCTTTTTTACTTCTGAGGAAATGTAGTTTGTTCTCCAAATAAACTCCTGGCCCAGAGTTTTTCCCTTTAATTCTCTAGTTCTGCTCCTGTGCTGGTGTGAGACTTACATGAGGAGTTTGAGAGCACCAACGTGCTGTGCAAATCAAGTATCTGTTCTCTTCCCCCTTTTATGCTCTTCATAAGCTTCTTGTGGATGTGTTGTGTGACCTCCAGCCTCCCTGACTGAAGTGGAAGTAACTCAGTGCTGATGTGTCTGGATACAATATGGAAGTAGTGGGGAAAATGGGCTTTTAAATCTCTTTCTCTCCTTGTTGCTGTGTCTCCCTGCAGTGGCACCACGAGGCCTGTCTCATCCTGGCAGTACAAGCACTACAGCAGATGCTTCTTTGTCATCTTCCATACTTGACTTCCTTCTTAGAGATAGCCCTGGCTTTTGGGGTGAGTCCTAGATCCTGTTTTGTATTCTAAGAGAATAAAGAAAATTGTATTTAAAATCTGTTTCACACCATCTTGGGGGTTTTGGACACATTTAACTTGTTTTTTCCTTAGATCTTTATTTTAGTCCTTTTTTAAAAGAAGTTATTGTCAGGTTAAATCATGTTTTGTCTCTTCCTAGAGTAACTTCTGGGCTCTGAGGCTGTTATTAGACCATCTCTCCTATGATGAACAAATCCTCCATGGTACTGTCAACCTGATTTTGAAAGATCTGAGCAGGCAGAAAGCAACAATACTAAAACTGTGAGTAAACACTTGTTCCCTGAAGTCTGTTTGTTCATGAAAGCAGATGAGCAGTCCCACAGCAGAAACATTTAGCAGAGAGATAATCCTTAGCTCTTGGAAAGCAGCCAAACAGTGCTTTGGCTTAGTCAAGGATGCAAATCCCAGGAATCAACAGGTAAGTTGTCTCTGAACAGCTGTTTCCTGCTTTTCTGTTGCTCAGGTGGCAAAACCTTGGGCCTGAGTATGTGGGTGAATTCCTGTGTCTGTTCCTGACCTGCAGACATAAGAAGATGCAATCCATTGGCCTCTGCAGCCTCAACATTATTGCAGAGAATCTGCACATGTGAGTGTGAAACTTCATCAGAGCCAAAGAGAAAATCATTGTCTTGCCTCACTCATGGTAGTTTGCTCTTAATTAACAGTCTGGAGACACCATTCATGTTTGTTTGTTTTTCCCCTGGTATTAGCAGTGGGAAAGATACCAAACATGATGGTTTGGATTTGATTTTATTCTATGTTACCTGTTGGAACCCAGTGGCCTTCTCTCTTCCCAGAGCCATATGCTATGGAAAACATCAGCTCTTGGCAACCCTGACCAGTCATCAAGCCTAGTTCTGTTATTAAACATCACTGTCACCAACAACAGCCCCAAATCCTTTAATTAGGGCTTAGAGCAAGGTACTTACTGGCCATAAAACTTTATTTAGAGAAAATAGCTGTAAGTAGCTCAAAATGTCCATTATTGTGTATCTACAAGGATGTGCAGGTGTCAGTGTGTCTGGAACTTGTCAGAGATCAATCACGTGGTAAGGAGGGAGCAAACCCCCACCAAAACCTGAAGATGTAGGAACATGTGTGATGCAAACTGAGCACAGCCTTAGGGTTGTGGCTGTTGTTCTTCCCGTCTTGTAAAAAGAAGAGACACTTGCTCTGTAGCAGCACAAAGCTTGAGTGGGTGTGGAAAACAGACTTTTTCAGGAGTTAGTGCCTTATTTAGATTATAGGTGACAATAAAACACTGTGTCACTTTTTAAACCGCTGTCTCAGTATAGTAGTTATATATATATATGCATAAGTGCCACATCCAGTCTCATTTTGA